TTTACTTCATAACCCACATGCCACCAGTGTCTTCACCTATCATAGAACTTGTTCCTCATCATTGCGTTGATTTGTAACCACTGTTTCTTACTGTTTTTCTTTGCTCAGAACTACTTAACAGAAGTTGTTTATTGTGGGCTCTGAAGGCACCCACAGATTTAATCTTCTTGTTAAGAATTTGACATAGAGTATGTCCTATCTTAAGCTCACTCGTGAGCCATTTGTACCTTGATTGATATGTGACAGATAATCTGACACATGCCATTCTGGCCTCTGCTCTCATCCTTCAGAGTTCACTGTAACTGCCTTTCTGTGTCTCTGCCTTACTCCTGGGTAGAATCCATGTCTGCCTACTTACTGCCTCCCAGATGCATCCAGACAGGCACAAGGCCCAACATATGGGATAAAATTGATTACAAAGCAGGCTGCTGGTGTGAAAATGTGCAGTTAGCATCCATTCACCATTCGATAAATAAATATGAAATATACATGAAGGTCTACATTTTAATTAGAAAGCAATCATTGACCATGTCAATAAATAATAGCGTACACAGGAAGATGACTAATACTATGGAGTAACATCTTTAAGAAGTTAAATTAGGGTAAGGACTCTGTAAAGACCTCATAAAGTCCTTGCAGCTTTAAATAGTTTTTATGAAAGCTTTAAATAGATTTCATTGTAAGAAGACTACATTTGAATAGAATCTTAAGAATGTGAGGAAATTAAAAGCTTTAGTGGTTTTTCCCCGGGCTTAAACAGAGAACAGTGTGGATATGGAAGATTGAGATGGGAGTGTGCAGAGAGAGGAATAAAAGATGAGCTCTGCGGATTGAGAAAGTGGGAAGGGCTGTGTGATGTGGATCTAACTGGACCGTTAGGAAGTCTGGCCTCACTCTGGATGGCATGGGTTTGAACAGAAACATGACATGTTGTCAATCATGTCACTTTAAGGTGATCACTCTGTCTACTGATGTAAGAACAAAGATGAGAGCAGAGTGAAGAAGAGCAATGATGGCCGGGTGCAGTAGCTCACGCCTATAATCCCAGCACTTTGGGAGGCTGAGGCAGGTGGATCACCAGAAGTCGGGACTTTAAGACCAGCCTGGCCAGTATGGTGAAACCCCATCTCTACTAAAAATACAAAACTTAGCCGGGCATGATGGCATGTACCTGTAATCCCAGCTACTTGGGAGGCTGAGGCGGAAAATCACTTGAACCCAGGAGGCCGAAGTTTCAGTGAGCCGAGATCGTGCCACTACACTCCAACCTGGGTAAAAAGAGTGAAACTCCATCTCAAAANCCATCTCAAAAAAAAAAAAAAAAGAAGAAGAAGAAGAAGCAGAAGGGCAATGATAGGATCAGCAAGACTACTAGTGGGAGAACAATTTCCTGAATTTAGGTGATTTCTGTTGGAGTGGTGAGAGTTGAAGTGGTTGGAACTAATTTGAAAAAAACTCAGCATATTCTCATGAAGTAACAGACAGAAAAAGACAAGATTATGGGTTGATTAATAAAAATGATTCTATGTTAAAAAATAATTTTCTGGAAATCTATTGACCAGAACGCATCAGCTCTTGAGGAGAGAGTCATTATTGTGGTACAGATTGAGCCCTGAACTCTAAGGAATAGCTGAAGCAAGAACTCTGTGCATAGAATGGGGAGGAGATGTTGTGATGTTTCTGAGATCTCCTGGCCTCTGAATGTCAAAATAGGCTTTACTTTCCTTATTGGCAGTTTCTGACTAAGGAACCAGAAGAATTGTCTAGGATGTTGTCTAGAAACTTGGAAAGACATCCTCCCCTAACAGTCACTCTTAGAGACACTCTAATTTTACTATCTAATCTGCAGAGAGACTTAGAGTTTGCATTATCATATCCAGGTGTTAGGAATCCAGATTTTAGGAGGAGACTCAAATGAAGGGCGCAGTCATCTGGCAGCTGTGGTAACCAGGCAACATGGGAGTTCTGTTAGGCCGAGGGCACTCACGTTCCCTTCTCTACCTCCCTGACGGCTGCTGGGCTTGGGCCCCATTGAGAAGTGGTGGAGTCATTTCTCACATGTGGGACCCAGACTGCTGTGCACTTTTCTCATTGTTTTGCCACTATGGTGGCAGCAGCTTTGGCATACATGCAGCCTCACTGTGAACATGAAGTCACAGTCATGGTAGAATGCATGTTCTACTACTTCCTCTCCTGGAGCTCCCTGGTATTTCTCACTATTGGTTGGATACGGATTGGAATAAAGGATAACAAAAAACCCCACATCTGTGGTTGGCTCATAGTTTTAGCCATAAACAAGGGCGAATATTATCATATCACGTAAACTCCTGGTCTTGCTAGTCATCAGAGCCTGGTCTGACTCATGGTCATTGTAGCCAGGGGGCTACCAGCATATTGCTTTTGTGTGATTTTTAGTATCTATACTGTTGGCTGGATTACACTCGCCAGCTAACTTTCAGCCTTTTTCCCTCTTTAAGGTCTTTTGATGGATTGTTAGAGGAGTAGACAGGTCTCAAGGCCTAGATTTACCTCCATACAGCTTTCATCATACCCCATCCTTTTGCCAAGCGTGGGGAAGATTCCTAGGTTGTCACACTTCACAGATCTTTCCTTCAGTATCAAACCTTTTCAGTTGTATTCATTTCCTAGCACCGTTGTGACCAATTATCTCCAACTAGATGACTTAAAACAATAGGGATTTTTATCACAGCTCAGGAGTCCAGAAGTCCAAAACCAAGATAGTGGCAAACTTGATTTTTTCAGAAGATTCTATGTGAGAATCGGTTCAATTCCTCGCACCTAGCTTCTGGTGGTTTCTAGCCAACTCTGGCATTCTTTGGCTTATATCTGTGCTGCTCCCATCTCTGCCTCTATTGTCACATGGCTTTCTTTCCTGTGTGACTGTATGTCTTCTCCTCTTCTTATAAGAATACAGATCATTAAATTTAAGGCCTGTCTTTATCCAGTATGACCTCATCTTAACTTGATTACATCTGCAAGGATGTGATTTTTAAATAAGGTCACATTCACATAAGTGAACATATTTTTGTGGAGGGTGTAATTTGGTCTACTAGAGCAAGTATCAAAATGTTACTATCTATTGAGATCGACCCTTTCCTTTGCCTCACAGTTTCTTGTCTAAACCAACTTCAGGTTCTGAGAATTGGCATTGTATCACCATGCCACCACTCTGTGGTATTACCGTCTGACTGACCACAAGCAATAATTGTAGGTTTGTTTTGCTGTTTGGACTCATGCAATTTAACTCCGCAGGGGGAATACAGGACAGGAGACACAGCAGGCAGGCAGGGCCACTTCAGGTGAGCTCTCAGTGAGGATTCTTATGGTGGTATAAGACCAAGTGGATGTGTGTGAAACTAACATAGCTTAGGTAAACCTTACATCAACAGACTGATTCCCTTGTAAAGACCATGAGCATAGCTTCCAGGGCCCTACAGAGAATGTTTTGTTACAAGATTCTCAACCCCCTTGTGGAAGCTGGGGTCTATGCTTACCAAAACAAAACAAAAAAATATATAATATAATATAATATAATATACCAGGGGAAGGTGATGGCTATGTCTTTTGTATAGAAAGAAAGGACTTAAGCCTAATGATAACCTTTTTTCCCCCACATGTCTAGTCTGGCTTCCAGCCTTATTTCCTCTACCTCACTCTATTTCTCACCCTCATCTGCTTTTCTCTATTTTCTCTATTAACTCGTCCTGCATCCTCCCATCCCTGCCCTCACCTCCTATTCATTGGAAAGAGACCGGCACTTTTACTTCATTTAAGAAGTGTCACATATCCAGGTTCCTCCAGGTCCGTGTGATGCCAAGGGTTTAGGGCTTTTTGCATCCCAGCCATACATTCAAAAACTTTTGAAGATGGTATGATGGTTTGTCCTTCTTGAATGGGGCATTCACTTACATGATTCCTTCTACCTAAAATATTTTTTTCTTTCTCATTCTGTATTCCTTTCTCATATTTCAGCTTTAATTTAAACTCGTATTTATCCAAGGAAGATATTTTGGATAGTCCTCTATTTGGCAAATTATTTGATTTTCCAAAAACATATACCTCTGTATGATGGTGTTTTTTACACCTACCATTTTACACTTTATGAATGATTATATAATTAGCTTCTGTCTTCTTTAGGTGATTATTTACTTTATTCTGGCTAATACCATCTGTTCATACTCAACTTTGGATTTTAATCCATTTCCTGAATTTTAATCACTGAAGATAATGTGTCTTCAGTGAGAATTTCCTAAATAAACAAATGAATAATTGGCGTTCAATTAGTGGATGTGGATTTAACACAGACAGGACTTCATTGCTCCAAAATGTGGCCTCCCTTTATATGTTGAGATATCTCTCCCATGACCAACAGCCATCTCGTTTGTATTTCTATTCCTCAGTGATCTGACATTGGTATGAATCGGTGGTCTATGTGTAACTCAGCTGGTTACTTGCCCTCCCCCAACAAATAGACACCTTTGGGTTCCTATCATAACATGCTTTCAGGCCAAGATAAAATCAATCACACCATCTACAAACACAAGACCCCCCAGAAATTCCCAGCTTACCTGGTTTCCTCTATTTCTACACTCATAACACTGGATCTCAATCTACTTCTTTCAGGCTTTACCTCTGCTTTTCTTTGTTTAAATAAGTGGAGTAGCATGGAGACCTCTGAAAGAGAACCCTGAGATTATTATGTTCAATCCAATTCTACCTATTAAATTGAATGATCTTTGTAAGTCATTTAATTTTATTTATTCATCTGAAGAAAGGGAGTACTCTTACTTTTTCTTTTTTGAGATGGAGTCTTGCTGTGTCTCACCCAGGCTGGAGTACAGTGGCGTGATCTCACTGCAGCCTCTGGCTCCTGGGTTCAAGCGATTCTCCTGTCTCTGCCTCCCGAGTAGCTGGGATTACAGACATGTGCCACATCACCTGGCTAATATTGTATTTTTAGTTTCACCATGTTGGCTAGGCTGGTCTCAAACTCGTGACCTCAGGTGATCCACCCCCCTTGGCCTCCCAAAGTGCTGGGATTACAAACGTGAGCCAAAACACCCTGCCTCTGGAGTACTCTTATTTCTCAAGAATTTTTGGAAGAGGAACGAATAGGCCAAAGTCATTTCTAAATTGAACTGGTAATTAAATCTCCATATTGCAGTCATTGCTGTTTCTGTGGGTGTCTCTGGGAAGTGTGCGAGCGTATGGGAGGACTCTGTGTGGGTAGGTGTGTTAGGAGGTGAGCACTTCTTCACTGGAAACGACATCTGGGATTCCACAGTCCAGCTATTGAGGAATTTCCAAATAATGGAATAAAAATAATGAAACACTGATAAGAAGGTTTTAGCCATCTATGGAGAGATGGGAAAGTTTTTAATATATTTATCGAACATTGTACTTCACTATGTCCTAAACACTGGAGCTATAGCAGTAAAAAAAAAAACAAAAGTGCCAAATTTATGTGTGGATTATATTTTAGAAAGAAGAGGTAGACATTTAAAGATAGATGGTGATAATAAAAGATGCAAATGTACACTGAATGATGAGTTTGTGGTGGTGCTATAGTTGTTTATCTTAGCAGACCCTTCTGATAAAGGGACATGTCAGGAAAAGTTGAAAAAAAAGTGTAAACGGAAGTTATGCAAATAGCAACAGGAGGATAATTCTAGCAATGAAAAAGTGCGAAAGCCTTGAGGCGTTAACGGCTTGCCCAGACCACTTTTAGAAATTTTTGGTTTCTCTTCCTCATCTTTTTTGTTTTTCGGTATTGCAGTCTTGGCCAGTCTTTGATGTGTGTGCACTTATAATGCTTTTTATTTGTACCATTCTTATACCATCCCCTTTCAATCTTCTCAGCCATCCAGGGGTCTTCAAGCAAGAAGAGAGAACCTCAGGAGTTAGAACCAGAAGAAGCCAGGGAAGCAGTACAATGGCTTCAAAAATCTTGCTTAACCTGCAAAAGGATGTGACCTGTCCCATCTGCCTGAAACTTTTGACAGAGCCCTTGAGTCTAGGCTGTGGCCACAGCCTCTGCCAAGCCTGCATCACTGTGAACAACAAGGAGGCAGTGACCAGCCCGGGAGGAAAAAACAGCTGTCCTGTGTGTGGTATCAGCTACTCATTTGAAAATCTACAGGTTAATCAGCATCTGGTCAGCATAGTGGAGAGACTCAGGGAGGTCAAGTTGAGTCAAGACAATGGGAAGAAGAGAGATCTCTGTGATCGTCATGGAGAGAAACTTCTACTCTTCTGTAACGAGGATAGGAAGGTCATTTGCTGGCTTTGTGAACGGTCTCAGGAACACCGTGGTCACCACACATTCTTCATGGAGGAAGTAGTCAAGGAATGTCAGGTAGGGCCCTAGATGGAGGGACATGGGGCAGAAGATGGTAGCTGGTGGAAGTCTCACCTTTCCATCCTTCTTTACCCCTTGTGGCACCATAGTCCTGAGTCCCATGATCTTCTCCATGTACATCTTTCACCCTGTGCTCCGCTTCCAATGCCTGGGGTACGTTTCTGGTATTCCTTTCATTTACATACCAGATGATCCTAGAGTACATTCTCTTAGCCAAGAGTGAGAGATTTTTGTTTTTTCCTTTTTCATTATATGAGTGATGAATTCCTTCCCAAAATTAGCTTTCTTGCTTCTCTAAGCAGGATAATTTCTGAGGAACATTGTGGATTGAATGGGGAAAGAACATTGATAAGAGGAAAGGACTTTCCTTTAGGCAGGATAAATAATTTCTCTTAGGAAAGAGAGAATCAGGCTACTCCTCTTGAAGGGGTAGTGACTTTCATCACCAATGAATAAACAATACATTCATCTCTTCAAATTTTTCCCCATGTCATAGATTCTAATCACCAGCTTTACAGTTATGGTAGATTGCTCTTTTCTCATATCAACTTGATTTCTTTCCTCTTTGTCCTCTATCCAGATACTGAGAAACCTTATAGCTTGACTCTGGTGTGATTCCTTTCTCATAGGAGAAACTCCATGCAATCCTCAAGAGGCTGAGAAAGGAGGAAGAGGAAGCTGAGAAGCTGGAAGCTGACATCAGAGAAAAGAAAACTTCCTGGAAGGCAAGAGGAGATTCTGAAGGATTTCTGAGACAGGAATCTTGACAGCACCTTAATCCAAGGAGGCCTCATTCTTTTTGTTCCTTGACATTGCATGAGTCCTGCAGCCATTTGATTAGTTCTCTTCTGTGTCCTGTCCCTGCTGGGGGTGGAGGCTGGACAATGGACATCTTACAATCACACACACATACCTACTACTGAGCACAAAGATAGACACTGTGATGAGAAAGGCTAGCAAATACTGTGTTCCATTGCTTTTTTCGATGAGGCTCTGCTACTTCTGGTGGAAGACACTAGATTAAGGACTAAGGTTTTCCTCAAGATCCATATTAGGAGTATGGTAATGCAGGCAGTCATGAATATCCAGAAAAGCTGTCTAGAAGCTAAGACTTATTATGTTTTACATTTTGTCTCAGGGTTGGCCTAGATAAGACAGTTTGAGGTCATTGCTTTGGTAGGTACTGAAAAAAATTGTAGGAAAAAATAGCTTCCCCTAAATACTGCTGTTGCTTCCTTTCACTACCTTGCTGGTTTGAACTCCCTACTGGCTCCTAATCCCTTACACAACAGGCCCTCGGCCTCACAAACTTATTACATCTCTCTCTTGTCCATCCTTCCAGTATCAGGTACAAACTGAGAGACAAAGGATACAAACGGAATTTGATCAGCTTAGAAGAATCCTAAATAGTGAGGAGCAGAGAGAGCTGCAAAGATTGGAAGAAGAGGAAAAGAAGACGCTGGATAACTTGGCAGAGGCTGAAGATGATCTAGTTCAGCAGAAGCAGTTGGTGAGAGAGCTCATCTCAGACGTGGAGTGTCGGAGTCAGTGGTCAACAGTGGAGCTGCTGCAGGTAAGAAGGATCGCTCAATCTGAGATTCTGGAAACACAGTTTGTTACCTTTCCTTCTGTGTCCTGGGGTTCTCATTCTGGTGGTGACACTAAGGGGTTTCTTTGGCCTTGCAGTGCCCCTTTATCATCCTTTCTAGATGTCATGTATATGAATGAATATAGGCATTCGAGGGCAATGTCACATTGCTATTAATTTATGAAGTAAAGGAATACACTTAACCTTGTAGAGAAGATCTATAATATCTAGTTATAGTCACTAGGCCCTTGTTGTATGTGATCTAGTGTCAGGCTTTTGTCAGACTTCTCTTTACTCAGATTAGTCACAGGTAAACACGTGTTACATTTTCAGGTTTAAGAGCAAACACATTTAAGAAATGTGTTCTATTAAGTTTAAAATATACTTATTTATTATTGCGATGTTCCCTGTTAATTCTTTTTAAACGTGAAGTGATGGGATACTGAGCCTTTTGGTGAGAGAGATGGACAGATACCTGGACAGACAGTG